GCGGAAGAAGAAAGTGTGTCTATCAATTTCAAAAACCGCGGAATATGCAGACATGCAGAAGTGTGGAATGTGCAGAAATGCCGAAATGCAGAAATCCGCTGGTTAGGCCAAGCGATCAATCCCTCAGGTCACTGTCCGCCATTTCGGCATTTCTGCAATTTCCGCGGAATCGGGAGAAATGCTGAATTTGTAGGTTCTGCATTTCTCCTGGTTCCGCACGACAGCAGGAACCAAGCGACCGGTCCCTATCACATCCTTGTCCGTCGTCCTAGCAGAAATGCGGCTTTCAAATGGATGCGTATACATCTCCTGTCTGCAATTTCGTCATTTCTGCAACATCGTCATGTATGAACGCGTCCTATTGCCGATGCGGGGGGGGGGGCGATCGTTTGTCGTTGGAGCGCATCGGACCTCCACCCATACTCCGCACGGTACGGTAACTTCAGCAGGCAAACAAGCCGACACCAAACACAGCATCTCACTACATCAACGTCGGAATTGCCTGGGTAAGGCCGCGTTCATACATGACGACGTTGCAGAAATGAGGAAATTGCAGACAGGAAATGTATATGCATCGGTATGAAAACTGCATTTCTGCAATTCCGCGGAATTTGCAGAAATGCCGAAATGACGGACAAAGAAGTGGTAGGGATCAATCGCTTGGTTCCTGCTCTCGTGCGGAATCGGGAGAAATGCAGAATGTGCAAATTCCGCATTTCTGCATTCTCCCAATTCCGCGGAATTAGCAGAAATGCCGAAATGACGGACAATGACCTGATAGGGATTGATCGCTTAGCCTCACCAGCGGTATTTCTGCATTTCGGCATTTCTGCACAATCCGCACACAAAAAATACGGTGCTAACGTATTTGGGGGGGGGGACCACGCGGCTCGCGGCGAGTGATGACTCATCGGCTCTTCTGCTTCCTCCTCGGCAAAATAGAAGTAATTTTATATTTAGGACGAGGATATGACACCATCTTAGCTATATTAAATTGTTAAAATAGTCAGCGCTGAAAAGTGTGAGGAAAAAATTGTAGGCTGGAAGGTTCTACTGCAAAAGATTGCTGCCTGCTTGTTGTTTACTGTTATTGTTGACTACGACAAAACAAACACTTGTTTTCAGCTTCCGTTGGGGTTTCTTAGCAAATTCCCGGTGTATCTTGTTTGTTTTATTTCCATTTGGCCGCTGAATGGGCTTCAAGTATGCCTATTTAGTAAAGAGCGATGAATGTCATCACTCGTCGCGAGCCGCGTCGTCCCCCCCCAAATACGTTAGCACCAAAAATCATAAACAAGAAAAGAAGAAGAAAAAAGAAGAAAACAAAATAGACTGAGGACCAGGCAGGACGGCGCCAGAGCTGCGCGTGAGATGGAAGGCATGGTACGTGATCACGTCCTCCACAATTTATTTTCCGCCCGGTGCAAGAGTTGCTGGCGGCCAAACGGCATTAGCCCAGATTTCGCACGACGGCAAATCCCGCGGAATTTGCAGAAATGCAGAAATGACGAACAAAGAAGTGATAGGGATCGATCGGTCCATCGGCATTTCTGCCAATTCCGCACTTGTGCATATTCCACGGTTTTTGGAATCGATAGACATATTTTCTTTTTCTGCAAGTTCCGCGGTTCCGCAATTCCGCAAATTCCGCGTTCTGCACATTCCGTGGTACTGCATTTCTGCATCATGCATGAACGCGGCCTTACTGCTGGTGCCCCCAATGGCAATCCGGCCGCGTCGAACGTCGGCTCCCGTTCGCCGCAAGCAACACACTAATGTTTTCGAATCTGCACGCGCGGGAAAATAATTCAAGTTCCAGCTCCCTGCGCAGTCTAGCCGCGTTCACCCCAGCGAGGTTATCGGCTTGCCACGAGACGTTGGCGGTGGGTCAGAAGGCTGAACGGGAAATACGCGAAGCGTATCGCGTAGCGTTCCTCGGACGCACTTAATATCCGGCAGTTGCTGCGAACTTGTTTTCCCGACACAGTCGAGTGTTACGAAACAGCGGCGTTTTCATGGCAGCTCGATGTTCTAAGGTTTAGGTTTTCCCTGTGTATTCGTGGATTATGTTTATGTCTTCCACGGTATTGTCCGAAGTTTGAAGCCTTTGCGATCCCACCTCTCGGACTGACAATTACTGGTGCTTAGTGTGTGTTTCATGGAAACTTCCAAGGTGAAATTCCGTTCATAATGATGGTTCAGGACAGTGTAATTCGGGAATCGGCGCTTGTTCAGTTGAGCGAAAGCACGCGGCAGCGTGTTGGACTCAGTGTACTTCGCTGAAAAGATCATCGGTGAGCGCATTGCTTAGTGTCGCCTCAGCGCGAACGCGGCGAAAAGGGAAAAAGCTGGCACCGTGTCACGGCATTTTTCAAGAAGTGAGCTTTCTGGTGCTTTCCCTTTGAATGGTAAACAACAGTAGGACCATGGGGGAAGGCAAGAAGTAGCGAATGATGACTTATTAACACAGGTTAGACATGGAAGGCTCCGGAGAGCATATTCCAGGAACAGGCGGAATATTTCTATATAGATATGCTGATTCCTGTGATAGGTTGTATTTGCCTGAGCGCTCCTCTGCTACCGGCTGAAGGACGAAAAGCGAAAATGAGCTGAAAGAAAACTGATCTAACATAAAGCAACGATGGCAGCTTATGTCAGTGTTCAGTCCTTTGCCGCGGCATCGCAGCGACATCGTTCGGCACGCGCTGCTACCAATGAGTTTTTCTTTGCCATAGCTTAAGCGCAGACGACGTTTGTCGCGCGCGGACAGTCCTAAAACGAGACGTTGTCGCTTTGTCGTGTGGCCACGCTCAACTAATTCAGCAACTAAAAATCTATTCTCACTTCACTATTAATATTGGAACTGGAAGAATTTCAGCACTTGGAAGACAATTTGATGCTCGAGTACTGCAGCGTTCGTTAATCATTCACTATCGGTTTCCGTCAAATTACTGAGTGCCCGAAGCTTCCAGTGGTCTCAATGATGCTGTCATTCTCTATTGTTCGTCGTCCGCTGTGAGTTTTACTCAAAACTTGTTTTGTCGCTGCAAAAAAAACTGGTCTTTGTGAATGCTTTGTCATGTATATGAGATTTTAGCGTATTTGGGGGCGGAGAGGAGGGAACGGGGAAGACGCGGCGGGCGATGACTTATCTGCTCTTCTGCTCATTCATTGGCGAGAAAGTGTTCGAAACAGCCCATAGATGGTTCCCGCCATACTTGAAGCGCGAAACCATTTATTTGTTTATTTATTTATTCTAAACCGTAATAGTGTGCCCTAGAAATATTAGGTTGTCCCAAAAGTTCCTGAACAGTTTTCGGATCTCGTATCACATCTTTCCTTAGCCAATTCGAGATCCAGGGCCAGTTATACCGTCTATGGGAATGTGTTAAGTAAGGCATCCCCAGCTTCTTTACCGGTCCGCTTGCAGTCGCTATTCTCATATGCAAAACGGTAATTGAAAGTTTCATCCATTTCCGACACACTTCGCTATATGGCTATCCACCAAGCCGCAATGTGGCTGGAGCCCAGAAACGGCGATTTCTCCAGTTAGGTCTGATGGTACCTTCCGCATAGGCGCTGAAATGGCCCGATCGCTTTTGCTTGAGTGACTTCTATCTGGGAGAAACTTTTCCAAATCGCCCCAACGAGGCCACCTGCCTTGGTGTTGGACCTACTGTGCTTCTTGATTGAAACCAGTTCGTACAAGTCAACTTGTCATCCAGTCCTTACACTTGAAGTGGTCCCAAAGCGCAAATGAAAGAGGGCCTTGATCCCTTGAAAAAGTCTTGAAGTTTGGTCAATATTTCTCGTGAGTTGACCGACATTCCAAGGGGAGCACAATGTGGGTACTGTTCACAACTTTCTCTCCCGCTTCCGCCATATGGACTGACATGAACAACGTTGCAACTGGGTATGGAGGAGGTGTCTACGTGAATCACTTCCGGTAGCCGCCAGTAGCTGGATCCCCAGAAAGGGCAGAACCGCTCGTGCAATCCTATCAATCCATTAGGGCGGTGAGACCGCGTAATGTGGTGGACTTTCTTTCTCCCTTCTCGAAATGGAATTTCTTGTTCTCCAGCGCTGTGGTAAACCAACGAACCTAGTGAATCAGCTGCAAAAGGGAGGATGAAAATCCCCACCATTTGGTCGCCGTTGTTATCAGCATGACACCGAGCAAGTGTTTGCCTACTCCACCACAGCTCGCGCTCACGTTTCGAAAATGACACTGCTTGAGATCTTAAAGCTTAGCTGGGGAATTCCACGCACCATCTTCGTAGCCCTAACTTAGCGCTTTTCGATCGGCTATTTAAACTATTCGCACAGCGGCCATCTTTTGGTGAAAAAGATACGATTTTTGGTAGTACCTCAAAAATGACCCAGCTGCCTTTCGGCACAAGGACCAGAAAGATTCTGAAAGCGAAAGCAACCACTTCATTGCGTGGTGGATTGGCAACAAGCTGCAAATGTTTAATTATTTATTTATTTATGTTTATGTAAATGGTCAAAATTGCTTCTCACTGGAATAAACTTGACTCGAAAAAAATGTTTGAAAGTTTCACAATTTTTTCTGACAACCTAACAAGTAAAGCAGTCGAATCATAATAAAACAAACGAGGGCCGGATTCCTTCCCTTGCAGACTTAGGGAAAAAACTTCCAGCCTACTATTGTTTCTTCTCACGTTTCTTCGTTTACTGTCTTAACTTCTGTATATACCTTAGGACGGTGTTATATTCATGTTCTAAACAAAGCAGGTGAATCGTTTTCCGTTCAGATTCTTCTGTCAACGCTTCAAACACTCTGTATCTGTACATAATGAAAGCAACGAACCGCTTGTTCTAACAGCAGGTCTTGTTGTTTTTTAATGCAAACGTTTCCCGTTCATTATCATGTTCGTTACAGGACATATGGCTAGGTTTGCATCTGGATCAGTGGTTGCTTCTTGTGGTGCTAGTGCTGTATGTGCTGGCTTTGTGTTTCTTTCTCATTCATTTCAATACTGTTCTATGTTCAGGTTTTGAGTACCTGTGTCTACCGAAAATTGTCAGGTAACTACCAGCAGCCAGGGCAAGACTTCGTGCCGCTACTGGTTGACTTCAAACAAAGTGCAGCAGCAGTGGGCAAGATCCCTACCAATTACTTGCGTCGTGAACTCGGTCAGACAGATGCTGATATTCTTGCTTCTCGAGTAATCGACCGATCTCTTCGCCCCCTGTTTCCCAGTGGCTGGCTCCAAGAAACCCAGGTAAAAAGCACGCAAAGCGCTTATATAACGTGAATTAGCATAACGAGTTTAACTAATATGTTCTGCAGATAGTGGTGAAGCCTCTCTCCGTTGAAAATGAAAGTGACGTCGTGTTGCTGGGTTTGAATGCAGCTGCTGCTTCGCTTCACTTGTCGGCAGTGCCATGGCACGGCCCCGTAGCAGCCGCTCGTGTGGGGCTAATTGATGACAAGGTAGAGATTTTTTTTCTCTCACAGGCAGGGCAGACCATTGTGTTGTGTAAAATTTCTGCAAAATACGGCCCCTCTCCAAGAGAGGGTATCTTTGCAACCTCGCTGCCCTCCAAAAAAGGAGATGATTTTAGATGGGATAATTGAATGCTGAAAGTTCGCGCACAATAAGAGCGCGTTCAGACTTCGCGATCGCTTGGATCGCGCGATCGGATCGCGCGATCCGATCGCGCTACTGAGGGTGAAATTACTGCGGGAGGGGGTCATGTTCGTTCATGTTCAACTCAACAAACAACAACAACAGAGTTCTGGGAAGGGATCGTACTAATATCACCATTTCTCACACCACAATGCTGTATCCTGCCTCCAATAGGCAGATTATCCAACAAACGATATAAAAGTAAAGTCGACCTTTTTTGATGTTACTTTTTAAATTCCATGTGTTCCATATTTCGCAATACTGACGTTTGTAGAAACCGTTTGAAAAGGAAAGGTTGTGTATAGACCTGGGCGATGGCAGAACAAACAAAAGCAAACACAATGTGACAAAAGTAAAGTGTATCTGGAGGACTGGCAAATCGGGGGAAGGGAGAGAAACATACATCACCGCTGTTAAAAGTTCTGCGTGTCTTACTTTTGAACCAATGATGTTCAACACTTTCGGAAAGGGAACTAAAAGCCATTCAATTGGTAAAGGAGCATAAGTTGATGAATATCCCAACGGCGTCGCAGAATGCGAACTCCACACGCTTTGCACGTACTCAAATGCAAAATTCAGTATAAGAAAATTAGCATATTGTATTATTTTAAGTACTATTTACATAAGGAAATAAATAGAATAACTCAAAAGATATTTCGATAACGTTCCTTAAATTAGGAGGGCGTATATGTACACAAAGGAAGAAAGAAGGAAAAGAGAGAGAGAGACGCAAGGTACCAATAAAACATATACGTTCACACTAACCGCTCACCAAGGTTATTATACCCTCAGTAGCGCGATCGGATCGCGCGATCCAAGCGATCCGATCGCGCGATCGCGAAGTCTGAAAGCGCTCTTATAGCTTGCACCGGAGGATGTGGGACATCTAATGCATTTTGTGTGGCGAGATTTCTCCGGCTGTCCGTATTCTTCTCTCCTACTTTAAATAATTTGATGCGCTTAGATCAAGTGAGCCCAAAAAGCTCGGCGCAGTGTCAAGATGCCGTCGACCAAAATTCCTGCCTCTCAGATGATTATGATAGCTTGCCCATGTATTAGGTTGTTCGGAAAGAAATGCGCGTTTGAGTTCAAAAGATTTTTCATTATAACAACGAAATTAGACCAGATGAATTCAAAAGATAATCTCCATTACTATCAATGACTTGTTGCCAACGTTTATGCGAAGAATGGATATCTCTTCCGAAGAACTCGGCCGGTTGCGACTCAAAGTTGGACACCGAGAGTTGGGCTTTTTCGCGATTTGTGAACGTTCTCTCGGCCAGGAAGTGCTGCATCGACCGGAACAGATGGTAATCGGATGGTGCCAGGTCTGAGCTGTATGGCGGATGAGGCGGACTTCCCAGCCCAATTCCTCAATTTTTTTTTCCAAAGTGATTTTCGCGACATGTGGACGAGCGTTTCGTGGAGGAGTTTTGTCGACGTCGTTTCGACACCTTGATGACGTAGTTAGAAGAGAGAAGAAGTGGCTTTTTTTTTCTTTAAAAATGAAGTAGACAAAAAATCTTCTGTAGTAGGAGAGAAATAAATGGACAAATTATACGCGCATTTCTTTCCGAACAACCTAATAGAATCAGCAGTGCGTGTGATGGAAGTAGTTTGGTACTCGAAAATTGGGAAAACGGTTTTGAGACCAGGCGCTGGAATGTTTCATCTATCTCTAGAGTAAGGAGTGAACCATTTCCCCCACAATGGTGCTCGTTTGGTAGAGGAGTAGAGGTTTTTTTTTCCGTTTGTAATGGAAGGGAAGCGTTTGCAATGGTTCTAAATACGTGGGCGCTGTACAAAGAACCTTGATTGGATTTGCTCCTCTATCATAGTAAAGATAAGGGGCGGAATCTCTCCTCGCAGTAGTCTATTGTGCAAAGAAAGGGACCCTTTCTATTGTGTGTCTCATGCTATGTGCTCTTTTTTAATGAACGATATAATAAGAACAGTATCTTAATCTCAATGGAGCTCATTCATTTGTTGACCCTGTGATTGTTCCTTCAAAGCCCTTGGGCTGTCCGAGCGAAGGGTGCTCATCCGTTTGTGTCTGGCCTCGCAAATGAAGTGCAGAAAAATATTAGTTGTTCCAAGACGGCAATGGTGCGCGCTTTCTGCCGTTGCTCTAACAATAAGGCATGCTATTTCGCGATAGCTACGCAAGTATATTTTTTTTCTATATAGTTGCTACGGGGTAGTGAGTGACCTCTCTGCCCCTGTTGTGGTATCGACCGGTTACACCGGGATTCCACTAGTAAGATGAAGCTTGGACGGAGGGCTGTGCCAAAAAAAAACCTCAATAGAGAACTTTTATGCGAATTTCAATTAACCGAACGAAATTGTACAATGCGAGCAAATAAAAGAACAAAAAAAAATGATAATCAATCGGCAGCGTAGAGTCAAAGAAAGGGTCACAGTACTGATAGGGGTCGACCATATATAGCAGTACTTGGCGGGCGAAAGTATGCCCTGGAGGGGGGGGGGGCGTGGGGGTCAAGGCGAGATCAACAGCACGGTACTGTACTGTATGCTAGGCGATCATATGGTGGTCGGTGTTGAAACACTCATGAGGTCCACCTCCAAAAGGTTGAACGTCGGGCAATGCCATCGTTCTTATATAATCACTCATAGAAAATCCAGAAATTCGGTCCTCGCCTGTGTCCGATGAAGGTCGTATTTTGGCTTCGTTCGGCATAGTCCTTGAGGATCCTCGGGTCGATCGCATCCAGGTGGATGTTGATGGCTGAGATTCCTGAAATGCGAGATTGAGCATTCGTTGTATGTTGCGACAAGTGCTTGCTTCATTACCGTTGTTGGCCTCCACAGGTCCGTCGTTTTCGCCTTGGCTGCTTGCCGCCCTCAACGGGTTGTCGCTCAACTTCAATTTTTTTTGCGTAGGCTCTCCACCTGCAATTCTTTTTGTTGTATTTTACAACATAACTGAGTTTCTTGTAAGCTTCTTATAGTATGGAGAGTATCTTCCACTGTATCGACTATCTGGTTTGTGGCACGCCTAACTTTTGAGATGCGTGCATTACTATCGATTTCATGTCGTCGAAATCGCTAAATAACTGCTTCAGTTCGGCCTCAGAGATATTTGCTGTTCTCAAAAGATTAGTTATCCCGTCAGCAATCCTTGGGCCACAGAAATCGCGCATTTCTTTCAGAATGGTGCGCACTATATTTGCTGTTCTCAAAAGATTAGTTATCCCGTCAGCAATCCTTGGGCCACAGAAATCGCGCATTTCTTTCAGAATGGTGCGCACTATCTCTTTTACTAACGCGCTTTGTTCGTTTACGGCTGCCACCACTGAATCCCGTTTAGGGTCATCCGTACGCATCGTCTTTGCTAACTCACTATCGCACTTAAAGCTATAGTAGCTATCTGCGACATTATCTTGTTAGAGAATTTGTCAAACTCCTTATCAAAGCTCACCCCTGCCTCCGTTATGCATTAGTCCAGATCCATTTGATCTTGGGGATCTCCACTGCAAGGTGGCGTGCGTAACAGTGCTCCGAACTTATTGATGAAATCATACGCATCACGTCTGAAAGAAGATCTAGTTTAGCTACCGTACTGCTCAAAGCCTACAGTACTTATCACGGCGCGAATCAATCACCAGATTAGTGAGTACGCGACAGTAGACAAGAGCCCGACAAAAATAAATGCTCCTCGCTTCTTGCACACTTGACCGTCAGGCAACGTTCAAGTAACGACCCTCCTTTCTTGGCCAGTACCTCTTCTAAACTGCTGCCAGTGTGAACAGCTGATCAATAGTTGACCTGGGCCAATTAGTCCAGCTCCTGACTCCCTTTTCACTGTCCTTCACCGCGTGCTCACGGGATACAGCTAGGAAGCTCAATCTCGGTACCTCCTATCCAGGTTGGTTCAACCTCGTTCCGAGGGAGAGCGAACTAATCCGGCTGTTCGACTTCCTTTTCACTGCTTTTCAGCGTGTCTGCACGAGATACAGCTCAGAAGCCCCAATCCTGCCCTTCTCTCCGAGTTGGTTTGACCCTGTTCTAAATGGGAGCCAACAAATCTGGCCCTTTGACTTCCTTTTTGCTGCCTTCCACCGTGTCTCCACGGCATACAGCTGAAAGTTCAAACTTGGCACCTCCTGTCCAAGTTGGTTCGGCCCCCATGTTGCTACGGGGTAGTGAGTGACCTCTCTGCCCCTGTTGTGGTATCGACCGGTTACACCGGGAATCCGCTAGTAAGATGAAGCGGAGGACTGTGCCAAAAAACTTTAATAGAGAACTTTTATGCGAATTTCAATTAACTGAGCGAAATTGTACAATGCGAGCAAATAAAAACAAAAAAATGATAATCAATTGGCAGCGTGCAGTCAAAGAAAGGGTCACAGTACTGATAGGGGTCGACTATATATAGCAGTACTTGGCGGACTTGGCGGGCAAAAGTATGCCCTGAAGGGGGGGGGGGTGGGGGTCAGGGCGAGATCAACAGCACGGTACAGTACCGTATGCTAGGCGATCATATGGTGGTCGTCGGGTGGTCACAATATCGATCTTTCTTGAATGCGGAAGTAAGTGAAGCGGGAAAACAGGGTTGGGAAGCTCAAGGTTCGGCACTGCTTAGCCGTGCTCGAGCCGTTTTGAACAGTCACTCATTCTTACCCACCTGGTCTTTTTCCAACACTGTCTTACTATTTCAACGGAGATGTGATGACTACACAGTTTGAAGATTGAACGAAACCGAACAACTCAAGAACAAGTCCACCCTTCAACGCCAAATGTCTGTTCTGCTTCCCTAATACTTGTTTCGCGTTGGCGACAGCGTGCAGATTGTGATTAGTTCCGCTTTGAAAAGATTCATTTGTTATCGGCTTTCAATTTTGGACTTGAAGTAAGCTATTAGGAAACTTGGTTTGCTTTCCCCACCCGTTCGGAAGCCTATTTTCTCTAGCACGGCGCCCCCGTGTATAGAGCGCACCTTTGCCATGCCATGAACGCCCCAATCTTGCTTTACTTTTGCATGTTTTTGTTGCTTTTGGCTCTCAGTATCCTTGGTTCTTGTGAAAGACCTAGAAACGAACAAGTGTTTGTTTGCTTGTCTGTCCGGAAGTTCGGTTCTACCTGGAGAGCAACTTGGAGAGGCCGTGTCAAGGTCGGATTAGATAGGGCATGGGACAAGATGTGAAGAGCATCGCCTGTGCTAAGCCCCGCCCACACTGGGCGGAGCATGCACCGAAAGTGGCGGTGTCGCAGAAAAAAAATACATGACTAGGTTCCTTCAAAAATGGTCGTTCTAACAACGTAGCCAAATGGTAGTTCCACCAAACAAATCGAATATTCCTACAGCAAGTGTACAATAAAATGAATGAATTTTGATCCAGCAATCTACTGGAACTCTGTTTCTCCAATTAACTTGAAAAATACGGTTGCGCATGTTCGACTAGAGATTTTAACAGGATTTCGGCCGACTGCCCCAATGATTAACTCGCTAAGCTCACGGACATTGTGAAATTATGCATTACTCTCATGGATCATACGCACCATGAAGCCCCTCACATCCTGGATTGGGTTTCAGTCGAGGCTGCTCGCCAGGCAAAAGAGCGATTTGGTGACAACTGAACCGCGCTTGAATGCTTCGACTGTCATGAACTGGTGCGCTGTCCTGCATGGAAACGGGACTTCTTGCTGAGTTCTACGCCAGAAAGCAAGGAGACGTTGTTGCATGACTTTCAGATGAAGAGATCATTTCTCTTTTTATACAGAGCACAGTTTCAGACGCTCCATTCATGCGATGGCAGCCCAGACCATGAGACGACATCCACTGATGTTCCGCCCGGAAAAATGAAACTCGTCTTTCCTCAAGTCGTGCCAGCGGAATTATTTTTTGTCGCAGCCGTCGCAGTTGTATTTTTCCTCATCAGAGAACACGAGAAAAAAAAACTGAAAAAAAAACACAGACAAGCAGTAGGGCACCGCACTCAAAAGCTAACCTCACTCCTTTGGGTTCGGCAACATCTTCGAGCGAAGCCAATTAGGTTTTCGCGTTGGTTTTTCGTTAGAAACAGTACGTAACTCATATTTCCTCTATGGGTGAACTCGGGAGTTTTTCAAGAGACATCTAACAGTATCCTTCGAGACATTAACCTGCGAAGATGACTTGATTTTCCCACACGACACTGCAGTGATGGATGCTTTCCTAAGGGTACGGCGGTTATTCCGAAGCGAAAGAGGATGTTCAGAGCTCTTCTCAGCCCAGTATCCCTCCCTTAGAAAAAAAAAAGTTGATAACATGATGATAGCGGCCCGCATCCCTCGCCATTCGACGATTCACCAGTTTTTGAGTCTTCTTTTTGTCCTTTGTGTCCTTTTTCGTCCTGTCCTTTTTCAAGGTCCGTTAATGAAGTTCCACTTGCCATAGCACAGAAGAGCTAAGAAGTCAAAATGATGAGAATTTCACCGAACAAAAATGAGACGCAGTAGAAAAATATGAGGTGGAACTATACTTTTGCGTCGTTGTCAGAGCGACAAATTTCCAAAAAACAAAGAAAAAAAAGTTGCTTGGGAAAGCTAGTTTTCGCTGTTGGCATGCACGAAGGGCATGCTAATTGCCACATTTCCTTCTTGGCAGCATTTTCTAATACGTCATATAAGACGAGTTTTCGTTTTTATGGGTGGAACTATCATTTTGCTTCGCAGTGTAATAGAAAGATCAATCCTTAACACGTTGACGACATTGCGTCCCACTGCTGGGACGCACCTTTTTTGCCGCATGGGACTCCCACTGCTGGGATGTGGCATGGGTAAAAAACCAATTTGAATACGTTTCGAATTTTCAACAGCTGCATATTGTCCATGAAGGCATTGTAGAATATGCAGTAGCTGTAAACTGTGCAGTTGTGTCATTAAAAGTATTTTACCAAGGAACAAACGAAAGTGATTCCCTAGGAAAAAAAGATAGTCCTTGGATATGTAGAACTTAAGCTCCACATGCAGATAGCTAAGATAAGGTAATTTTCAACAATAGCAGATCTGGATCAAATCCAATTCACCACCTCTGGCGCGAAAATATTCCTTTTTTGCGACCTTGTTTCCACGCTCTACGTGAATGAGGCGCGAGTATTCCATGAAATTCCAGGGTTTATCTTGAAAGTAAACAAAAATTGCGAAGCCTTACTAGTTTCTGCAATGAATTCTGACCATTCTTCAAATTTTCGGCGTATTAACGCCCTAGCATTTATGCGCATTCTTCGAAAATAGGGAAAACTCCTTTGTCCCACGCGGCAGACACGTGAAAAGGCGCCTTCTCGCCAATGTGTTAATCTATAAATGCTCACGTTACCGGTTAGCCCTCTTCAGGTAATAGGCGAATACTTGGGTTCAAAAAAGTATGACAGAATTTTCCCGCCAACCTAATACATCCCATGGCCGTAGCGGGATGGTATCCTTCCTTATGAGTGGGTGTTAAAATTAAAACTTTCCGCGGCTGCAGCACGCTCCCCACTCGCTGTGGAGTCGCGAAGGTGGGGCAGTTCCTTACATGGGGAGCCGGACTACCCGCACAAGGATGGATAACCATGAATTACTTACGCGGTGGCTGCCTTCAATTCATTTCTTGCCGATCTCTGGGGTGCTCTGGAACCGATTCACGAAACTTCGAATTGGGCCCCGCCCAACCTTGGCACACGCTACGTACACTCTAGTTCTGCCACCCTATTCTCATCCGCTCACCCATGCTAACATTTGTCCACTTTTTCCCCATTGTTCGGGATGCTCTGAAACCAGTGAGCTGAGAGGGTAAGAGCGGCCCTGGTAGCGTAACGGGTAACGCAATCGCCTGGCAAGCGAGAGATGCAGGCTAGAGTCCTGTACGGAGTCTGATTTGCCCATAACTCAGCACTCCTGCAATACCATTCATAGCGCGCACTGCGATGTTAGTTTTCAGTTTCCATACTGAAAGAGCTCTGGAACCGTTTTAGGAATTTTTGAATTTGACTCCGCCAACATCGGCATGCCCTGTCCACAACGGGCATGTCCCCTACTGCTTAGCCGCTGACTTTAATTACTTTTCCCCCGTTTTCGGAGTGCACTGGAACCGAACTAGAATTTTTTCAGATAAGTCTCTCATGCGGCACCGTCCATCCACTGCGCGGGTCTCAACACATCAGAGACATGCCAAACTTTCAACAGATGTTTCTCTTCTCCATGGACTTTGCTGCAATCTCATTCTTTCGAGAACCGATTCACTGAGTTTCATGAAAAGCATCGCCCTTACCAAATACGCCCGTCCACTTGGGGTATGTCTCCATCATTCAATCGACCATCCCCTTACTAACCTGTCCACTTTTTCTCCATCTCTATGCTCTGGAACCTAGTCATGATTTTTTTTCCGCGACACCGCCACTTTCGGTGCATGCTCCGCCCAGTGTGGGCGGGGCTTAGCACAGGCGTATTCTTTTCACCTCTTATCCCATGCCCTATCTCATCCGACTTTGGCACGGCCTTTCCAAGTTGCTTTCGTGGTAGAACCGAACTTCCGGACAGACGAGCAAACAAACTCCTTGTTCGTTTCTAGGTCATTCACAAGAACCAAGGAGACTCAGAGCCAAAAGCAACAAAAACATGCAAAAGTAAAGCAATAGTGGGGCGTTCATGGCATGGCAAAGGTGCGCTCTATGTACGGGGGCGCCGTATGCTAGAGAAAATAGGCTTCCGAACGGGTGGGGAAAGCAAACCAGGTTTGCTAATACCTTACTTCTAGTCCAGAACTGAAAGTCGATAACAAATGAATCTTTTCAAAGCGGAAATAATCACAATCTGCACGCTGTCGAGTATTAGGGAAACAGAACAGACATTTGGCGTTGAAGGGTGGACTTGTTCTTGACTTGTTCGGTTTCGTTTCAATCTTCGGATTGTGTTGTCATAAGACAATAGCCCCCTTGAAACAGGACACCGTAGGAAAAAGACCTGGTGAGTAAGAATGAGAGACTGAGTATTTCATGACCCAGCTACCAACAACTCTCCTAAAACACTTATAGTTTGCAAGCCGAGTTCAAACAACAAAAAAGAAAGAAATAGAATGGAATTCCCCTAGGAATCGGAACGCTAATCTTCTATGCAACATCAAGGAGAAGGAAATTTTATTAATTCATGTATAAGCTCGAATAATGAAAAAAGAAAACTAACGAGGAAGGTCGTTCAGGGCATGCCCCGCTTTTGCAGAATGGTTTTTTTACATTTTGTAGGGGCTTGAACGTAGACCGCAAAAGTGGGGTTCATCTTTGCTGAGCGGCCTCAGGAACGCCAAAAAAGGAGCGAAAAATACGTCTAGGTACCCCCATATGAGAGACTTTGAGCGCTATACTGGCGCCGAATTGCGTCGACGCCGAAAATAGGTGTCAAAATCGTAATCAGGACTATCGATCAGCCCTATAAACGAACTTCCAGTCAAAAAAACATTTTTCGACCTTTTCGCATGTGACCATTTGGTCGGCAGTGGTGACCGGAGTCTCACATCTTTGCAAAGATGATGACGTGACGATGACGTAGGAGAACGCGGGGTGACAGCTGTGCCGCAAGGGTGCCGCCAAGGTCCCGTCATGCTTGGCACAAGTGTGGCTGGTCGCGACATTTGTGGAAAAGCATCCTGGGCCTTTGCCGATCCCTGGCGCTTGTTCGCTCAATGAAGAAGTCAATTTCCACTGCGGGAGCAGAAATTGCACTCATTCAAATTCCTCAACTTTTTTTTGAAGTCGAGCTGGACCTATACTCCCCTCTCCTTCCTCTTTCATAGACACTGTTTGTTTTACGTTTGGATATCAATAAAATAGGGAGGTCCCGATGGCGAGGCATTGTAGACATCTATAGAAAGACTGTCAGGCACAACCCAACGCACAAATCCATAAAAGTCGAAAACATTTTTTTCGGCCGAAAGATTGTCTACAGAGGTAATTGATGGTCCGATCACGTTTTTGACATTTATTTTGCTTATTTTCGGCGCCGACATAATTTAGCGCCTCGTTAGCGCTACACTTCCCTTATATGAGTGTACCTAACGCAATCTTAAAAAGAAACTTGTGGCTCTATATTAGCGATAAATGGCACCATAGCTACAAGTGAGTTCCATAGTTGTTATTCGGGCAATGTCTGACCTATGAAGATCAACTTTCAACTACGGTCTTGCTTAAAGACAGTCCCCGCGAACAAAGTGGCTCGTGGTCGCCTTTGCTGTGCAAGTAGTCTAGCCTCCAAGCTAGAAGACTGTTCACCTTTCGCGACTCTATTGTGAGCGTGGAGGCTGCTATAGCCGCTCAAAGTGCTTGTTCTAACTCCTCCTCAGTCGGAGCGCCTTTACTTGCTAGATGTCCTCCGACGGAAGCCACTCACTTGTTCTTAGTTGGGGCGGCGGGCATTGCTAATCCCCTGGATAATTCTGCTCTCCTTCATTACAATTTACTCATAGGAGGTATATACATTCAATTCAACCCATTTCGCGAGGTGAAACGCATAAAAACACGAGTGACGCAATTTTCGTGATGCAAAACCACGACGCACAAAAGGTGCGCTACCGTAATCACAAATTCAGACACCGTGTTGATAAAATTCCTTTTTCCTTCCCAGTATTTTTCCTCTGCGCTTTTGTTGTATTCTTTTTGTCTTCTTTGTACTGGATGATATCAACTACTGCGAGATGTGATAAAGAGACTTGTGAGCTAGGGGCTGCACAGAGACCGCAGGGAGGTGTAACTGTGAGGAGCGATTTTGTTTATGTTGTTCTGGAGAACGCTTCTTGCCTGTTTTCTTCTTGGGAGATTACTTATCAGCTGCTGTTTCATATTGGAAAGCAGCTACCCATGAGAATTTTATCGCGGGAGCTGTCTTTAATGGTATGTAAAACCTGAAATAATTGAATAGCACCAATTCGTTTAGTATCCCCATTTAAAATCTGACCATAAATGGGAGTTATCGAACTCATACTCACACGCAGACATATTTGAACGCGAAAACAGCGAAACGTGAAAATGCAAGAACTCGCACGTCAAGGGGAGTCGAAAGCCATGAAGTTCGGTCCACCCTCCTTTTAGTCGAAACAAGCTTTCGTACCAGAGACAATTGCAGTTAAGAGAAAAAAAAGCGCGCATTTAGGCCGATTCTTTCTCACAGTGTTCGGGGCGGTCCAAGTAATAGCGTTGGGCGCGCTCTAACCTGTACCGACGATCGCGGCGATCGCCGCCATCGCCGAGGTCGCCGCGATTGCCGCTGCTGTCGCAAAGTATGCACGTTGCTTTGCAGTTTGTCGTTAATCCGAACCGGTCAGCAATGAGGAGTTCATCTATGGATTTGCTAATAGCGGGTTGTGATGACCGACGAACGGTGATGATTGAAATGGATGGAAAGGTGAGCGAATTTCTTTGGTGAAGTGCAGCTGTTCTATATTGCTGCTGTACAGGAAATCCCTGGCGAGCAACTAGAAAGAGCCATGGATGAAGGCCTGCATGCCATTGAGAAGGTTTTATCTGCTATGGATAAACTGCGTGGCATGGCTGGAAAAGAGAAGGCTGAGGTCCAATTCTTCGACGGCTTCTTTCTCATCATGTTATTGCTGTGCTGTAATGTGACCCTTTTCCAGTTCACTATTTCCACTTTTCCAACCGATGTTGAACGTGAGGTACGGGCCCTATGTGAAGAGCGTTTATATTACATCTTCACGGATCCATCGCACGACAAAATTTCCCGTGACGAGGCTATCAACGTTGGTTATTTTTGACCCACAAGGGAACGCTTTCAACTTCCCATGGAACTTCGAACTTTGAATGGAGACCTAAAACATCGATATCGAATGCTGATTACGAATAGCAGATTAAAAGTGCTACGAGGGCGAGTTCTGGGCGGGTAAATTTTGCGAAAACTCAGTTTTGACTCGTAAGCGCTGCTAGTCGATCGTTGGGCACTGCCACCGTGACCTAGTGGTATCGGTATCGCTTCAAAGCCAAGTGCTCTTGAGTTTGCATACCGTTGGCGCGAAATTTTTGCTTCGTCTCCCCTAGAGCTTTTACTCTTATTTCCGATTTTGCGGTCCAGCAGAGCAAGTAGATCAAGTATATGAAGTACTCCATCTAGTATGGATTTGGTCACTATCTGCCCTTTCTAAACTCATCCATCCGGCAAAGCGAAGTTTTATCCAGAAACTCGTTCCTGGAGGTATTCTGACCCCCTGATCACGAATATCACATCCGTTTGACGAGAAAACGCTTGTAACCTTTCATGTTGTTGTGGTCATCAACTGAACGAGGGAATTGGTCGTTTTCACGTCAAACAAATGTGATATTTGTGCTCAAGGGGTAAAATACCTCCAAAAACGAGTTTGTGACCAATTTGTGATTCTGGCCAAAACTCGAACTGTCGGATGGGTAATGTGTTCACAGAGGGCAGATAGCGATCAATCCATACTCGATCGACTACGTCATATACTTGAACTACTTGATTTGCTTGCTCTGCTGGACCGTAAACTCGGAACATTCGAAAACTAGAGTAAGAGCTTTTATAGCAGACGAAGCAAAAATTTCGCGCCAACGGTATGCAAACTCAAGGGCATTTGGCCTTGAATACCGATACCACTCGGCCACGGTGGCAGTGGCCAACGATCGACTAGCAGCGCTTACGAGTCAATACTGAGTTTTCACAAACTTTGACCGCCCAGAACTCGCCTGGGAGGTCCTTGTAGCACTTTTAATCTGCATATTCGCAATCAGCATTCGAGACTCTATCGATGTACTTAGGTCTCCATTCAAAGTTCCATGGGAAGTTCAGACCATTCCCTTGTCAGATGTTTTTTTTCTGGAAACAGAGGAAACAAGTGTGGTTGCAGGAAGTTGGAGGAGATGTAGTGAATTCTATAAGCGAACAAGATCCCTCTCTGATTCAAGCAATTTTTCGTGATGTCACCAAGAAAGCTTTACGGCTAGTGTTCGCAGTAGATCTCTTGCTTTTTACGTGAAACATTGTAAATATTTCAGCTTGCTGATCCTCGAAAACAACATGCGGTGTGACGGTCGTGGGCTGACAGACGTACGGCCTATAACCATCGCCGTTGACGTGTACAAGCGACTACATGGCTCATCGTTGTTTCAGAGAGGTCAGACTCAGGTAAACTGTTTTCGGTTTATGTGATTTCAAATGAGTACCAGTCGGCTCGCTGGCTTACGCCGGCGCGCCCTCTTCTGTGATACGGCCCGGGCAGACGTGGTTTTTCACCTCCTTCTACATGTTTGAATACCCGACTAATATCCCGGCTTTCCTCAGAACAGATGGTCGACGCTCCTTGACCGATAATGTCATGCCTGCTATTTCCAACACTATTGTCGTATATGGAATGGCGGTAAGGAGCACTGATCAAATGGACAGAGAGAAACGCCAGAAAAGGATATTGATTGTGCATTCATACATACAAAAGCAGGGCGAGACTGGGTTTCGTCCGCCCGGTAAAGCCGGGTCGTATCACAGAGGAGGAGGCGCGCCGGCGTTAGCCAAATGCTGACAAATTAGACTACGACGACCGATGGTTTAGTGTATGGGTGTATGGCAGCCGATGCACTGTAGCTTAGTAAGAATAGGTACCTCGTGCATGAGGGCATACGGTTGACGAGTCTCAACACGCCACAGAGACACTCAGCTCTCGCCATATGTTCCGACATATGACTTTCGACACTCCACACACTCGCTCAACTCCCGGCAGATTTTCCCTTCTTCATTGATTTTTCCCGATCCCCAAACTTCAAGTAGCATCACCCATCTCTAGTACGGCTCGCCCTTTTTGAGTATATAGGGAGGGTTCAATAGAAAAAAAAACACTTTTCTTCCTTGACTTTCAAGGCGCTATATCACCTCACCTACGTTCCCGTTGATCATCGAGTTCCTCGAGCGGGTGTCATTAACGTCTCCATTCGTCCCTGCAAAAGTTGCCCAATGGACTCTCTTGCTCGAGGGACAAGATGAACTTCACACCATTCGTTCTGAGCTTCACTAAGAAGTCTGACCATAGCATAGGCGGTCGTCCAGGCGTTCGCTTGACATCCCGTGGAATCCACCCGTTGATCGCTGTGGTCCAGCGGTCGTCCTCGAAGCGCATGACCTGCCCGGCCCACCTGATCTTTGGAACCTTGGCTGCGGCGGCGTCTTTGATCTTCGAACTTTGGCGGAGTGCGGAGCTCCGAGTTCCGTCTCTCACTGCGTGTAGCGGGAAACTCCGAGCATCGCCCTTTCGATGGCGCGTTGAATAACGCCAACCGCATGCTCATCCTGCTTTCGTAGAGGCCAAGCCTCTGAGGCATAAGTCAAGGCAGGACGACCGCGGAATCAAAGAGGTGGACACGAGGCTTGGTGTTCTTCGTCTTTTTCGCTACTCCCTCGATGTTTTTGAAGGCTCTCCAAACAGCTCGCTTCCTCCTGCTCAGCTCTGGTGCTAAAACGTAGTCGTTCATCGTACTGATTTCCCGACCCAGGTACACCTAGCTAGAGCATTCAGAGATCGTCGTTCCGTTGAGCGTGAATGCATCAGAAACCAATCCGTTTTTAATGAACATCGTCTTTTTTAGATTCAGCCGTAGACCGATTTTTCCACACGCGCAATCAAAATCAGCTAGCATTCGTTTCGTTTGCTCGATGTTTGATGTTATACAAACGATGTCGTCAGCAAAGCGGAGATGGTGTAGTTGCCGACAGTCGATCTTCACTCCCGTGTATTCCCATTCCAGTTGACGCATGACTTTCTTGAGAGAGGCGCTGAAGAGCTTGGGCGAGATGGTGTCGCCCTGTCGGATCCCTCTCTTCACATCGATGATGATCTCCTTGTATAATGGTGAGATCATGGTCGTGAAGTTGCTGTAGAGCTCACGAAGAATCCTGATGTACTGAGTAGGAATACCCTGGTTACCCAGGGCTTCGATAACCGCTTCTGTCTCAGCGGAGTCGAAGGCTTTCTTTAAGTCGATGAACGTGAGACATAACGGCATCTCGTTCTCTCGCGATACTTCAATGAGCTTCGTTAGCGTGTGGATGTGATCAATCGTTTGTAGACTACAGACAGCAGACAGACCGGGCGATAATTCCCAATGTCGTAGAGGTCTCCCTTCTTGTACAGCAACACAGTCTTGCTGGTTTCCCAGGTGGGTACCTTGCGTGGAGAGTCGAAGAGTTTTGACAAGAACTGGCGGAAGATCCTTCAGATGTCAAAACGCGCTATAAGTAACACTCAATTAAATTCTGATGGGACATTTCCACTACCATATTTAACAACATATTGTATACTATCATGATACTCCGCCACAGCCTTCTGGACGAGCGCCATCGAGAGGTTCTGCCACGCGAAAGTGATTCGCGTGGCACTGCCTGAGTTCAGCGAGGTCGTTAATTTCTCCGCCGCTGTAGACCACCCTGTTGAGCTCCTCCCGGACCTGGTAGTCGAGGGGGTTTAGGTCAGGTGGACTGTGGTCTTGGATATTCCGTATTTTCCAGGTTCTCAACACCCTTCGATTTCAAGTGGCGAGAGTTTTTCCAGTGCCCTTCGATTGCATGGGCTGGCACCCAATCCTATAGCAGTACGAAGTTCGCAGGAAGGTACAGGCGACGACATGGAGGCAGGATATTGTCCTAAGTTGGTCGATGTAAGCGTCAGCGCTGGTTTCCTGTCCGGTGCCTGCGAGAAAATATCGGTCTTCTCATTCCAGGAACCGCCGGTACATACCATCAACCCGCGCCTTGGCGACTGCGGTGAAGATGATATCCTGGTCCATAGCGACGTTGTCGGAGCTACTCGATGTTGGAGGTCTTCCAGATCAAGAGTGCTGTTCCCCAGGTAGCTGTCCATGGTTGGTTCCGTACAAGAAGTTTCGCAGCTGTTTGAAGGTGACGTGAATTCCATAAGCCTTTTTTAGTTCGGCTGCGGTTGGAGATGTCTTCATATTTTGGTGTACATGAAGGTGACAAACGAGAGCGTGCTCATGCTTACCGAGGAACATCTTGGGTATCTTCTGCCCTGGTAATTCCAGTCTTCTATCTGGGCTGCGTACACTTAAGCGATATGTGACTCGGTCAAAGTGTCTTTTTTTATTCCCGCCCTGTATTCAGCTCGTACCTTTGCTCTGGGGAGGGAGGGGTCGTATTTGTGAGACAAATTTATTTTGATATTTTATTTTCTTGTGGAAAAGTAGGGGTCGTATTAACTTTTTGTTTTATATGCCCGCTCGACAAATTTTTCGCTGACTATATACTCATCGCTCGTCGGTCGGCGAAAAAGCCGTGGAGATGGAGGGGGGGGTCGGTGGCTGGACTCCATTCGAAGGGGGGGGGTCGTACTCACACCGACATTTCGCACATCCCCATGCTGTACCTTGCCTGTATTTCCTCCACTTCTTCCGCTAACCCTTTGTAGACCTTATTCCACCATTTCCCGGTACGAGGGCTGCTACGCAAGCGGCTCTTGAGTCTTCCACTTGTCCCGCCCACTTCGGCGCATGCCCCGCCTACAGTGAGCTTGTATTTCTCTCAACTCAATAGTCAATCTCCTGTACACCTTTGCTCATTCTTCTCGGCTTCTGGAGTGCTCTGAGAGCGATTCTCCAACTTTTAACTTTGTCTGCTACCCCTTATGCACTTCTCCCACTCTGAATGTTCTTCTCCCACATCACCTGCAAGCTATTACGGGCGGAAGAAGGAATTTTTGTATTTGGCTGCGCCCACATCGGCGCATGCCCCGCCCACTCTAGGTGTGCTTCTCTCATCCGTCCCTCACTCATTGCTAACATTTGTCCGCTTTTTCCTTTTGAGATTGGCTCCACCCGTATCGGTGCATGCCCTTTTCGGAACAGATATGCTTCCTACTGCTCAACCGCAGACCTCTTGGTGACCTTAACTTAGTTTTTCGCAATCTCTGGAGTGCTCTGGGATCATCTGAAACGAGTATTCCGTGCTTGAGGGCACGTTACACCCACCGTGTGCGGGTCTCAACACACCACAGACATGCTCAACCCTGACAAACGTTTCTCTTCTTGTTTCTTCATAGACTTGCAATCTCAAAACTCCCGAAACCGGATTACTGAGTTTTTCAGGAACTGCCCCACCTTCCACCCCCTTTTCGATGATGCCCCGCCCACATAGAGCCCGTTTTCCCCAGTTAATTTGCCTGCCCCTTGCTCCCCGTAGTCTTTTCCCCCCACCTCTTGGCTGCTCTATAGTCGAACTTCCAATTTTGACACCGCTACTTTCGGTGCATGCCTTTACATGGAACCGCCAAATAGGGAATTATATAGTGCGTAACAAAAGTATGTGGACACCTCAAATTTTTGTTCTGAAAATTGCCTTTGAATTTCGCGATATGAGACCTTCATTGTTGAATTCCTCATAAGCGAAAACATAGGAATACACTACTTTTGAGCAGTTTGTGAACTAGTGTACAATTATTTATTGTTTTGAAAAACTTTCTTAATAACAAAAGTATGTGGACACCTGAGGAATTCCAACGTTTGGCTCCGGATTTGCAGTCCATTTCTATGGTCTCTAGTCCCCATTAACCTGTACTCATGCCTCGTCGTGATAGTCCTCTCTACGAAGACGAAGAAGTTCGGATTCGAGCTTTCATGCTGCAGGACACTCGAATAGAGAAATTGCAAAAAAGCTTAGACTTTCTGCGATGTGCATTGGTATATACCTCCAGAATCCTGATGGCTACTACTCAGTGCCTCTCTGTCAAGGCACCCACGCTCTTTGTCCGCAAAAGACGTCAGAAGAATGGCCTCAAATTTCCCGCTTTCTGTGGCACAGATCCATGCCGCGAAAAATCTACCGATCTCAAAAATGACAATATTTCGATCAAGTGAGCACATCACTCGAGAGACCATGAAGAAAGCTTCCTGTCTTACTGCCAAGCAACAGCTGGCAAGGCTGAAGTTCGCGCGTGCAAACATGGCGACGTCGTGGGACAAGGTGCGTTTCTTGAGAAATTTGAAAATCAGAAAGACAACATCTTATGCATATTTTTTTTCTATGGATATCAACATTACTGGAAAGACCTTTGTAGCGATCCGTTGGTGTTCTCGAGACGAAATTTCGGAGGCGCCTCTTTGGTGGCACGGGGTGTTTTGGAAGGAGACAGAAGTTGGAGCTTGCCTTCCCATCGTGCTCTATGAACAGTCAGGAATAAAGGAGTGCTTGAGTCTAACCTCTCGCCGTTTCTGGGCGGGCCACGACACAGGACACATGTGATAGCAAGACAACGCCGCCGTGCATGTTTCAAACTCTACTAGAAAATGGCTCCAACGCAATGGTATCAAAGTGATTGAGTGGCTGTCGTGTTCTCCTGACTGCAGCCCGACCGAAATCCTGTAGGGGATCATGGTTCGACGAATCTACATGAACAGTCGGCAGTACAACAGCGTGTGAGACATCAAGGAGGCGGCAGTTGCTGCATGGGAAGAAATCGACGAAGACAGCATGACAAATCTTATCCACAGCATGCCAGACAGAATGTTTGAAGTAACAGTGAACGCTGGAGGAAAAACCAACTTCTATTTCCCAGACACATTTGTTTTTTGTTAGGTGTCCACATACTTTTGTTATTAAGAAACTTTTTCAAAACAATAAATAATTATACAGTAGTTCACAAAGTGCTCAGAAGTAGTGTATTAATACGTTTTCGCTTATGAAGAATTCAACAATAAAGGTCTCATATTGCAAAATTCAAAGGCAAGTTCGCAAGACAAAAATTTGTAGTGTCCACATACTTTTGTTACGCACTGTATATAGCAGGGATTTAGTAGCTAGCAGTTTCCGTTATGTAGGTCACAGTTTGGAATCTGGCCAAGAATGCCCCTTCGGTGATCACACCCGAAGAAAATTTTCTGGTGCACGAAAATGACGCTGTTTTGGCTCCGAAACACATGTAGTGTGGGCTGTAAGCTGGGGCACGCTCACCTTTCTTCAGGCCACAGCTTCTTCAGGCCCCGCGCCCGAGCTTTTTGAGAGCTGCTCAAGTCCTTCTCTAGGTAATAGTAATGGCAGAAGTCTTTCTCTCATTTCCTATTGTCGTTATACGGAAATCCAACGGATTGTCTCACAGCAGGAATTCACGCTCGCAAAGATGGCGAAAAAATGCGAAACTCGGCTGCTGTAAATGTATTGTTTGGTCATTTTCATATCGCGACGTACCATTTTCGGACTGCTGATTAATCGCTCTTCTTCTTTCTTCTTTCTCGTTTCTGGAGCATAATTATGAGTCGCAGTCTACGGAGTCCTAGGCAGAGCTCATTGAACAGTTACTGAAATCTTGGACACAAGGGACTGAGAATAATAGTGAAAATTTTGTGTCATAACACAGATGAAACAATGCGTTTTCAGAGAATATGCTTTTGTCCTCAGTTACGTTGCATCCTAGCATCTCTACTGCCATTCGTTTCCCAGAGCAAACTAGCTTTCACTCCAGGTGATGTCTACGGTTACCTTTGACAGTCCAGAAGCCGCGTTCCATTCGGATTCAATATCACAGATACTTGGTGGGCAGCGAAAAAAGATGTTCATGCTTCACTACGAGTTTCCCAGTTATGCGACCAATGAAATTGTGGTAAGTTGCGTCGATATTAGTACAAAACTCTGGCCGGAAGAGTTTGAGCATGAATGATATAATTTTTTGTCGCTTTTCTGATTCGTTTTCCTTCAGACTTCTAGAGGATATAGTAGGAGAGAATTAGGGCACGGAGCTCTCGCTGAGAAGGCGCTGAAACATGTGATGCCCAATGAGTTCCCGTACAGTATACGTCTCGCTTGTCAGGCAAGTTTCTTTGAGAAGCTCAAAAGCATCTCCTGCGGTAACCTAGGGAATAACCAGAAGCGTTTCAACTCCCATGGAATTTCGAAAGGAGACCTGGATACATCGATAGGGTTCCGCGTGCTGATTGCGAATACGCAGATCAAAAGTGCTACGGGGCCCCTACGTGTTCTGGGTGGTCAATGATTGCTGTAAATGAATGCCATGTGAGCACTTCTGAGCGCACGAATGGCGTGGCAGTGCTGCTTAGTGATGACGGCTTCGCTTCAGGAACTCGCTTGTTTCCATCCCGTTGGTGCGAAAATTTTCGGTTGCCTTCTATAAGGGTTTTGCTCTAGTTTTTGGTATTCCTCCGAGTTTACGGCCGAGCTGATCGAGTAGATCAAGTACATGAAGTAGCAGATCAAAGATAGTTTCAGTCACAATCTGCCCATTGTGTCACTCATTACCTATGTGACAGCTCGAAGTTTGGGCCAGAATCACAGTTTGATTAGGCAGTCATCACTGGGGGTATTTGGGCTTCTTGCTCTGCTGGGCCGTAAACTCGCAGGAATACCGAAAATCGGCGTAAAACTTTTTTTAGAGATGGAGCAAAAATTTTTGCACCAACGGGATGCAAACCAGCAGCCCTTGACTTTGGATCGAGACAGTTACCATTGGGCCGCGCTGCCACACCATCAGCATTCGAGCCTCTATCGATGTAGCTAACAAGGGAGATCTTTCAGGTCTCCCCAGTTAGCTTGTCAAAAACTGAGTGAAAAGAATTTGACAAGAATGGGCGATTTTAACTATCTCAATGGGCTCAATTCTTTTTGCGATTTCGAGCGTGCATTGTTTATGAGGTGCTCGTTAAGTATGCCTTAAAAATAGTTTTGAATAAAGTCGAAATGCAAGTATCATGTAGTAACACACGTGGCATGCACCAACGCAAATTTTTGTCAACGTCCCCTCATGCACACTTCCGGGGGATCGGATGGCGCAATGGATAGCTCCATGGTTTCTAGACGGGAGGACGATGCAGGACTTTGTAGATCGGGTCGTCCCTGCAGCGATTTTTTTTTGCATTTTTCAGCTTTCTGTTCATTCGCCTTCATGTATGTCTAGCACTGGAAATAAGCCAAGAATGTGCCATTTGGAGGCATATTCTTCATTCTGATACCTCACAAACCAGCTCGGGTGTGTGGAGAAGCCTGTTTCCGGGGATGTTCTCGTCTCGTTACGTTAACCTTTCCCTTCGTTGATAGACAGTTCTAACAACTGCGGCAGAGTTCAACAAAACATGTGAAGCATGTGCATCCATTGCACCAACTACACCAACTATACGTTACAAACGCCAGGGAAGAACAGTTACTGTGTTCTTGACAGGGAACGACTACATCTCCGTTGACCGAAGTCGGTCGGAGTTGAAAACGGTCCAGAATTCTTCTGGACATATCCACCCAACTTAACGTAACGAGACGATAACATTCCCGGAAACAGGCTTCTTCATACAACCGAGCTGGTTTGTAAGGTATCATAATCAAGAATAAGCCTTCAAATGGCATATACTTTTCTTATTTCTTTCGCTAGACCCACAAGAACGCGAATGAAGAGAAAGCTGAGAAATGCCAAAGATTTGCCACAAGGAGGATCCGATGCACAAAGTTCCGTATCGTCGCCCCATCTAGAATCCATCGAATATCCGCTGCGCCATCGGATCCACCAGCAGGGATAATGAGTGGACCACTGACAAAAACATCACTGTTGCGGCGGTGCATCCCAAGTGTGTTACTACATACATTGACGTTTATGATACTTACGTTTTGACTTTATTAAAAGCTACGTTCGAAGCCTAATTAACGTGCACCTCATAACTATGCATGCTAGAAGTTACTCATAACTGAGCCCATTAAGGTAGTTAAAATCTTCCATTTTGTCAAATTCTTTTCGCTCAGTTTTTGACTTCCACAGAGACGCATAGCAAAAATGAAACCATTTCTGTGGTCCTTGTATGGACCCCTACAACAAGCAACAAACCATTTTAAAAAAGCGCGCCACGACCTGAAAGACCTCCCTTGTAATTCTGCATTCGAAGTTCCATAGAGAGTGGAAACCGTTCCGTTGTTAGTTGAATTTCTTTGCATGTTTGCTAGCCAGACTGGCGCAGAATATGCCACTTTCGTTTCTCGAAGGATGCCAGAAATGCCAAGAATGATGCCAGAAACGCCGGCTTCTTCCTGTTCGGGTCCACCTATCATGACAGCGCCGGAGAGCGTATTTATTTTTAATTTTTCATTTTTTTATAACCATGCCGTGGGCTGCGGCGTTGTAGGACTGCTTCATGTACTTCCAGAGTAATTGCTAGAGTATCAAATTTTGCAGATCGCGCTCGCGACTCATCTTGTTTCCTTCAAATGCCCCTTCTAGAAAGGGTCCGTGCAATGATAAGCAATCCGCATTGCAAGACTGATGTGTTTCCGTGATAGTTCCGTTCTCCTTGCGACCGCTTTGGTGCACTGTTTCCATTAATGTTTTTTTTCGGTCCTCGAGAGGCGTTTTGCGATGGGATAACTGTTTATCTACAAAGAGAACACTTTGGAAAAACAAGGCCACTTCTTATGTAAGATCTGACTAACGAAAACCAACCTTAGCTGCTCGGCTGCACTACAAGCACGAGGTTTTCGCAGCTCCCAGTGATTGTCATCCATCGCCGAAAAGAGATAGTTGTATGGTCAAGTGCCGAGGCCAAACAGTTTCTCATTCACAACAAAGCCTTTTTTTTCCGCTTAAGGCACGGAGTTTCTTGACGAAAGGTATGCAACAGCTTTTGGGACTGAGATTTTAAGAAAACTCTGTTACTAATATGTCTACAGAACCAAATTTTTGTCTATGGTGCGAAATCCCATTGGATTTGAAAAATAGTGAAAGGTGCCAAAGGCTTTTCAGAGTATACTATCCTACAGGATCCTTGACGAGGTTTTGAACGACTAGGTGATCACGACTCAAATCTCCCGCTTTGACAGTTCGACTGTCCCTGCTCCTCTTCTGGTACTGTTTTCCCTTATCAGCATTTTGTCGTTACTGAAAGGAATTACGACCATGCATCAAGCAAAAATGAAAAGCAATCGAGAAACATGTAATGGCCATGGTGGTGTTGTCCGTTGCTACGCATGGTGCCACTGGGAAGCTCGTTCCTCACAAGCTGAGCTACAAGGGCAGTCGATGGCAGGTGACAGGCTTTCGTGACGAGCCGACCTACCTACCCTACAATACCTATGCCACATCACATTTGCATAATGATGATTACAAATATGTTGCGACGTAATGGTGCGGGATTTACGGTAGCCGACGCGTACTTGCAAAGCTCGGCAAGTGTGGAAAGTACACTAGGGTTTCTGACGCAAGGACAGCATAGGGGGCATCCAGGCTAGTACGAAGGACTGCCATGTGTGGAGGGCTCGCGTTGCAGCGGTGAACGTTGGGACGTTGACGACATGCTCATTCGACCTGGCAGAGGCACTACAGCGCAGAAGCGGTTTTTGCGCAGTGCAGTAAGCGTGAGTTCTGTTGTTCGGGAGAAATTGCGACGGCACTAGAGCCGTTCTTTGTGGTGTTCTGAGCACTAAAAATGATGTAGCTGTAAGGTTCCGTGACTCGATTACTAGTGTAGTTCGCTTTAGCGATTCTCAATGAAGACTGTTGCTGCTTTCGAACAACGACCTGCCACTTTTCTGTGCATGCCTAGTGGATGCTCACAGCAATTCAAGGACGTTTTCTGGACTGTGCTATAGGAAAACGAGTGCAGTATCACCAGAAAACGGTATTATTGTTGCGGACGAAATGGACACGAGGACGCTGCGAAGGACGGCTACGCTTGTCATGAATTCGGTTACGGATGGAACGCCGATGATGAGCTAGTTCTTAACTATGCAAACAAGCATCACCTCCTCTTTATATTAGGTTGTCCGGAAAGTTCTGCAGGTTTTGTGTGTTTAACTTTAAACGATCATAACTTCCTTAACACTGATCGGATTTAATCCAAATAAGCACCATTCGAATCGGCACACTTTTGCCAGTGTGACAGCAGTCGAGAAATCCCATCAAAGAAAAAACTGGGTGGTCGAGAATCCACGAAATTTACGAAGGTCTTTTTTGCCTGGTCCTAATTGATGAAGTATTTTTCAGCAAGGAAGTTCTGAAAATGTTTGAAAAGGTGATAGTCGGTTGGTGAAAGGTCTGGAGAATATGGTGGGCGGCGGTATGTAGAACTTCAACCCCCGATTCGTTCAATTTGTGGATAGTGATTTGTGAAACATGTGGGCGGGCGTTGTCATGCAAAAGAATCGGACCCTTTCTTTTGATAAGTGTTGGCTGCAGCTGACAAAATTTTCGGTACATTTCCTCGATTCCTTCACAGTAGGGTTCTGCTGTGATGGTTTAGCCTGGTGATAAAAGGTTATAGTATATCACACCAGCCAATGACCACCAAGCCTGACCAGAATCTTTTTTTCGTGAGGGTTCGGCTTTAAAAATTACCTCGGTGGTTCCTCGAAATCCAACCACTGTCCGGAACGTCTCCTGTTATCATACATGACCCATATTTCATCACAGGTGACAATTCGGTCTAAAAACAGGTCGTTTCTGCTGCGCAAAAGCAATGCAGAAGAAACCTCGAGACGTGCCGATTCCTGCCGGTCACTCCGATTGTGGGGCACCCAATTGTCGTGTTTTTTCACCTTCCCAATGCGTTCCAGACCCTCTGCAACAGTGGATTTGCCAACGCCTAGCTTTTCTGCAATCTCTCGAACTGTTTGGGATGGGTCAGCCTTCAAAATCCCCTTAAAACCCTCGTCAGATACTGCTTTAGGTCGACCGCTAGGCAACCGCTGAGGTTCATCTTCAAGGTTGAAATCTCCAGAACGAAATTAGTTGAACCATTGCCGCACAGTGCTTTCTCTAGCACTATTGGGCCCCCGTACCTGGTTAATTTGTTGAGCTGTTTCGACTGCGTATTGGCTCATATTGTAGTTGAAGAAAAATATCGTCCGAAGTTGCTCTTT